TTGTTAACCCGGGCCTCGACCGATCCGGTATGGTTTTGCTTTGATGAACTCGCATTATAATTTTGGCAAAAGTGTTTTACATCGGATGCCATTCCTGACACAACCCTCACCATTTACCCGGGCTTGGGACCGGCACAAGAGATACACTGGCTTGCGCTCCCTATACAATGATGACAATACATAGCACTTTATTATTATTTAGTTATTTATTATTTATTTAGATCACATTTATTCCCTGATGGGACTCACATCAGAGACAATAAGGGGTTCAGTGTCTTACCCATGGACACTTCAGCATGTGACTGCTAGTGGAATCAAACCCCCAACTCTTCCATTGGAGGACGACTGCTCCAACAACTCAGCCATAGCTACCCCAAGCTGGAAAATACCCATTATGTCCCTTATGACTATATTTACTCAGGTTATATTTGTCTCACATGAATATTTCTTTGATCTGAAACATCTGAGCGTAACAAAAAAGCAAAAACAGAATACTTTTTCACAGCATTTTATGTTATACACTGTACACACTGAATTATATGTCTGCCTATAATGTTTTTACATCATGTTACAAGTTTGTTGAAGTGAAAAGTGAACGTTGGCTCGATCCTCTCTGTTCTCTGGGTAAATGAGGCCACAGGCTGCACTGTAAAGATCTGAGCAGCCTGGTTGACTCAAAAGACGATGAAAAAGTAGTCTATTTACAATTAACAAGTAAAATCAGATATTTGCAAGGGTAGTATTGGGGGTGGGGGTGGTGTCAGTAAACTGGGGATTTTTAAGAGCAATTTTTGTGGGGATACAGATACAGTCAAATGTACTTTTGTAACATCAAATGAAAAACATTCATTACCCGGTAGACAACTTGCAGAAACTAAACTAACAGAAGGACTGAACGTCTTTCTCCACCTGTCCCCATCCTAATTTTATGTCACGCTTGACATGGTCATGTGACTTCCACAGGTCCATCCATCCATCCACCAATGCACCCACCCACCCATCCACCCATCTTCTTCCTTTTAAAGTCATGGGGGTCACTGGTGCCCATATCCAGTTATCACTGTGTGAGAGGTGGGGAACTCCTTGTTTCCAGTCCATCACAGGGACACCTAGGGACAATTTAGTTATCATTCAGCATAACATGCATGCTTTTGGTCTGTGGGAGGAAACCAGAGTACCTGGAGAAAACCCACGCAGCATGAAGAGAACATGCAAACTCCACCCAGAAAGGTCCCGGGCCGGGATTTGAACTGGCAACCTTCTCGCTGAGAAGCAACAGCTCTACCAACTGAACCACCCATGTGACTTTCAATAAAGTCTGATTTTTTTTTTTACAAACCCATTTAAACTATAAGAACAGTTTGATAACATGTGACATGCATCCATACACAATAATAAAGCCCAAAGGAACAAATTAAATCACGACCACAGAGAGACACATGCAGCGCCTCGATGTAACATGGAAACAAGTAAACAAAAACTCTGCCATAGTCATTTAAGATTTTTAATGTGCAACTCTGCAGTTGCTGGTGAAGATTCTCAGGTGAATAATGCCGAGAAACCTGAGAACTCTGCAGGTGAATAATGCTGAGAAACCTTCAATGTACAGCACACGTGCGCAGTTTCCCTCAGTCTAAAGATTGTTTAGAACCAGGTTGAAGATAATTTAATCTGGTTTAAACTACTTCCTGTGGTCATTGAATAACTGTCACTGATCTGTAGAAGTTTTAAAAACTTTAAAGCTCTAAATAAATACATGTGAACAAACAGGAGACATACATCCAATAAATAACTCTACTTAATCAAACAAAATATTCTTTAGATCAGTGGTTCCCAAATTGGGGTCCCCAAAACCCCAGGGGTCCGCCAAAAAAAAAAAAAAAAAAATCTTACAAGCAGATGCTTAACAACACATTAAAATACAGTAAAATGCAGGAAATCACATCTACTTTATTCAATATTTTCTGGGGGAGAACCCCCAGACCCCCGACCCTCCGCCATTTGTGTTCAGGCATCAATCTTTTTACAAATGAAGCTCTGTTACTGGTTTGACTACTGCTGTTATGATTTTGTTCAGTTTTATGTAAAGAGTTTTCTGAAATAATCTGAAGAAATACAATACATTTATGTTCTTTATACGATTAGGTAATGTTTTAAAGTGGTTTTGATTCTGTTAATTTTCTCAAAACTGTAAATTTGAAAGTTGAAATAAAAAATTTAGTTAATTAAGTGTGTCTTGAATGAAAAATACCCCATGTTTAAAAGTATAACAATTGTATTAACACTATTAAAGAACAGGTCTTAAGTACTTATGTTACACAAATATTTCCATTGCATTAAAGAGACAAATTGAAGAAAATTATTTAATAAACATGAGGATTATGAGGGGGTCCCTGAAACTTTTTTCTCCTCTGCAAGGGGTCCCTGAACTCAAAAAGATTGAGAACCCCTGCTTTAGACACATTGATTATTGTGTTGTTTGTCAATATAAATTATGAGCTACTGAAATGTTGAAACAAGATCTATTCTTCTGTTTAAACATTATAGAAATATTATTTTTACTGCTCAAACCCTGTTCTCCCATGTGCAAGGCAAAATCGCTAACCATGGAACTATTGAGAACTAGTGATGTCCCCTCCACCCTTTCATACGTCTCAATGGACTGAACCATTGTTAGGCTGATAAGGTGGGGTCCCATCTTTGTTTTTCCAGTTTGGATCCAGACCCACCTGACACCCCTGGGATTTCCACACAAGGGTATTTGTTTGGTACAGTTTAATACAACAGCAGCTGTTTCACTCTCTCCTCACTGGGAATACTCTCCATCACTTTATCCAGCTCCTTCCAAAATGTATCTTTCTCCTCCACATCACATCCAACCTGTGGAGCATAACCACTGACAACATTTAGCATCAGACCTTTTACGTCTACCTTCAGGCACATCACCCTACCTGACACCCTTTTCACTTCTACTGCATTATTTGCCAACTCCTCCTTCAGGACCACCCCTACTTCATTTCTCTTTTTATCCACACCATGGTAAAATAGTTTGAACCCTGCTCCAGTGCTGCGAACCTTGCTGCCCTTCCACTTGGTCTGTTGGACACATAAAACATCTACCTTCCTACTCTGCATCATATCAGCCAGCTCTCTACCTTTGCCTGTCATTGTCCACATATTTAGAGCTGCAACCCTCAGTCCTATATTCTTGAATTTCCTCTTCTCCCTCTGTCTCCTGACATGTTTCCTTCCTCGTGGTCTTTGACTAACAGTAGCACAATTTCTGTCATTGGCATTGTTAACCCG